AATGGGAGATATCTATATATCAATTAATGTTTATGTTGTAATAATGGGAGATAACTCTATATATCAATTAAAGTTTATATTGTAATAAAGGGAGATAACTCAATTTAATATCAATTACAGTTTATATTGTAATAATGGGAGATGACTATGTATATCAATTAAAGTTTATATTGTAATAAAGGGAGATAACTCAATTTAATATCAATTACAGTTTATATTGTAATAACGGGAGATAACTCTATATATTAATTAAAGTTTATATTGTAATAAAGAGAGATAACTCTATATATCAATTAATGTGTATCTTTCAATAAAGGGATATTTCTCAATCTAATATCAATTTCAGTTTATGTTGCAATAAAGGCAGATAACTCAATTTATTATCAATTACAGTTTATGTTGTAATAACGAGAGATAACTCTATATATCAATTACAGTTTATATTGTAATAATGGAAGGTAACTGTATATATCAATTAAAGTTTATATTATAATAAAGGGAGATTACTCAATTTAATATCAATTACAGTTTACGCTGTAATAACGGGAGATAACTCTATATATCAATTACAGTTTATATTGTAATAATGGGAGATAACTCTATATATCAATTACAGTTTATATTGTAAAAAAGGGAGATAACTCAATTTTATATATCAATTACAGTTTATATTGTAATAAAGGAAGATAACTCTATATATCGATTAAAGTTTATATTGTAATAAAGGGAGATAACTCAATTTAATATCAATTACAGTTTATTTTGTAATAAAGGGAGATAACTCAATTTAATATCAATTATATTTTATATTGTAATAATGGGAGATAACTCTATATATCCATTACAGTTAATATTGTAATAAATGGAGATAACTTAATTTTATATATCAATTATAGTTAATTTGTACATCAATTACAGTTTATATTGTAATAATGGGAGATAACTCTATTTTATATATCAATTATAGTTAATTTGTACATCAATTACAGTTTATATTGTAATAAATGGAGATTACTCAATTTTATATATCAATTACTGTTGATATTGCAACAAAGGGAGATAACTCAATTTGATATCAATTACAGTTTATGTTGTAATAACGAGAGATAACTCTATATATCAATTACAGTTTATATTGTAATAATGGAAGGTAACTGTATATATCAATTAAAGTTATATTATAATAAAGGGAGATTACTCAATTTAATATCAATTACAGTTTACGCTGTAATAACGGGAGATAACTCTATATATCAATTACAGTTTATATTGTAATAATGGGAGATAACTCTATATATCAATTACAGTTTATATTGTAAAAAAGGGAGATAACTCAATTTTATATATCAATTACAGTTTGTATTGTAATAAAGGAAGATAACTCTATATATCGATTAAAGTTTATATTGTAATAAAGGGAGATAACTCAATTTAATATCAATTACAGTTTATATTGTAATAAAGGGAGATAACTCAATTTAATATCAATTATAATTTATATTGTAATAATGGGAGATAACTCTATATATCCATTACAGTTAATATTGTAATAAATGGAGATAACTTAATTTTATATATCAATTATAGTTAATTTGTACATCAATTACAGTTTATATTGTAATAATGGGAGATAACTCTATTTTATATATCAATTATAGTTAATTTGTACATCAATTACAGTTTATATTGTAATAAATGGAGATTACTCAATTTTATATATCAATTACTGTTGATATTGCAACAAAGGGGGATAACTCAATTTGATATCAATTACAGTTTATATTGTAATAATGAAAGATAACTGTATATATCAATTAAAGTTTATATTGTAATAAAGCGGGATAACTCAATTTAACTGTTTATATTTTAATAATGGCAGATAACTCAATTTTATATATCAATTACAGTTTATATTTTTATAATGGGAGATAACTCAATTTAATATATCAATTACAGTTTATATTGTAATAAAGGGAGATAACTTAATTCTACAACATTGACTTAAAAAGATTATATTATTCTCGACAACATTGCTTTCAATATACTGATATTGCTATTATATCATTCTCGACAACATTGACTTCAGTAAACTGATATTGTAAGGGAGATAAATCTCTTATAAAATTGTCAACAACATTGACTTTAAAAGACTGAAGTTGTAAGGGGGATAACTTGATTATATTGTTCTCGATAACATAAATACAAAAGATTGGTATTGTAAGGGAGATAACTCTACTTTATTGCTCTCAATGATATTGACTTTAAAACACTGATATTGTAAGGGAGATAAATCTATTATATTGTTCTTAACAACTTATGCTTCGAAAGAATGATATTGTACGGGAGATAACTCGATTATATTATTCTTAACAACATTGATTTCAAAAGACTAATATTGTAAGGGGGATAACTCTATTATATTGTTCTTAACAACATGAATACAAATGAGTGATATTGTAAGGGAGATAACTCTACTTTATTGCTCTCAATGTTATTGACTTTAAAACACCGATATTGTCAGTGAGATAACTCTATTTTATTGTTCCCAACGATATTGACTTTAAAACACTGCCATTATAAGGGAGATAACTCTACTTTATTATTCTCAACAACATTAATTTCAAAAGACTGACATTGTAAGGGACATAACTCGATTATATTATTATCAAAAACATATAAACAAAAGACTGATATTTTAAGGGAGAAAACTCGATTACATCATTATCGAAAAAATAAATACAAAAGACTGATATTGTAAGGGACACAACTCTATGATATTTTTCTCGACAACTTAAATACTAAAGACTGATATTTAAGGGAGATAACTTTTTTTTAATATTCTAACAACATAGACTTAAATACACTGATATCTTTAGGGAGATTTACTTCAGTTAACTGATATTGTTAGGGAGATAACTCTATTATATAATTCTCAACAACTTTGACTTCAATAGACTGATATTGTAAGGGAGATAACTCTATTATATTATTCACGACAACATTTACTTCAGAAAACTGATATTGTAAGGGAGATAACTCTATTATATAATCCTCAACAACATTGACTTAACAAGACTGAAGTTGTAATGGAGATAACTCGATTATATTATTCTCGACAACATTGCCTTCAATAGACTAATATTGTAAGGGAGATAACTCTACTATATTGTTCTTAACAACATGAATACAAAAGAGTGATATTGTTAGGGAGATAACTCTATTATTATATTGTTCTCAACAATATTAACTTTAACACTGCCATTATAAGGGATTTAATTCTACTCTATTATTCTCAATAACATTGATTTCAAAAGACAGATATTGTAAGGGAGATAACTCTATTTCATTATTCTTGACAACATTGACTTCAACAGTCTGATATTGTAAGGGAGATAGCTCTATTATATAATATTCTAACAACATAGACTTTAATAGACTGATATTGTAAGGGAGATAACTGTATTATATAATTTATTATTCTCAATAACACTGTATTATAATAATTTATTATTCTCAATAACATTGATTTCAAAAGAAAGATATTGTAAGGGACATAACTCGATTATATTATTTTCAAAAACATATATACAAAAGACTGACAATGTAAGGGAGAAAACTCGATTATATAGTTCTCGATAACATAAATACTAAAGACTGATATTGTAAGGGAGATAACTCTACTTTATTGCTCTCAATGATATTGACTTTAAAACACTGATATTGTAAGGGAGATAACTCTATTATATATTGTTCTAGACTCAAGCGGCACAGATAGCTCGTCAGGCCATTGGCCACCATCAGCAACCCATCAGTGCTGATACAGTTCGAAATCGGCTCGCCTCTCTTTACCTGTCTTGTTTCCGTCCATACAGGGGCCCGGTGCTCGCTCCCCATCATCGTCAGCAATGTCATGAACGGGCCACCCAACGACAACCTTGGCGGCATCAGCAGTGGAGGATCCAAGTGTTCTCAGATTACAGTCGGTATTGCATTTCCACCGCAGATGGCAGAGAACGAGTGTGGCGAAGAAGACGTGGAAGTTTTACAGAACAGTGTGTGGTTGAAAGAGACCCGTGGGAAGGCATTATGGTATGGGTTGCAATTCTATATTGAAATAAAGGGTTTTATTTCAAACTGTACAATCTTTATTGGTGTGAAACTAAACTATGTAAAGATATAAGGCATTACGACAACATTAGAAAAATTCCAGGAGACATGCTCAAAACGACCTGGAATTACTGACAGAAAAGAGCAGTGAAAATGCTTTCCACTGGATTGTTGTCTGAGATAAACAGTCCTAATTCTCGAATTTCAACAACAGCAGAAAATTGTTTGTGCAATAACCACTAGTATAGTCTCTCTGCCCTAACTTTTAGTAGCATCTTGTACTTCTATTGTTGAACTGTGATAACTGACATTAAAGGGAGATAACCAGCCTAGAACCGTGTCTGATCAGTATATATATGTATATGCTTTGTTTTCATGACAATGGAATAACCACTAGTATAGTCTCTCTGCCCTAACTTTTAGTAGCATCTTGTACTTCTATTGTTGAACTGTGATAACTGACATTAAAGGGAGATAACTAGCCTAGAACCGTGTCTGATCAGTATATATATGTATATGCTTTGTTTTCATGACAATGGAATAACCACAAAAATGAAATATTATAAAATAATAATTTGGCAAAAAGTTAAAAATTGCACATTGTTCCCACAATACAGTAAGTTCTCATTCCAAAGCACAACTACTTGTATTGTTATTAAGTTCCAAATTCCATCTTACACGAGTTTCCATCGTGGGAATAGCACATGATTTTTTGATTGTAAAATGTACTTTTTGAACTCAAATCAAACATAGAAAATTCCAAAGAAAATTTCGTATCACAACTACCAAGACAATTTCTATGTAAGGGTTTAGTGGCGTATCCTCGGTCAGCCAAAAAGTCGTGACAGTAAACTGAACTATGGCGTTTGAATGTCGATTCTTCAATAGCGGGTACTGTTCCATTATTACACTCGCGACTATCAAGACAGGTATTATTGCAGCACATTCCATCTTCCTTTAGCACCACCCTCACTGACGTTTCGAACGCACAAATAGAACAAACTTTAAATCGGTGCATAATTCTATCTAAATGGTCCGAACCAGTGTATGCATGTCCAATAGACATATACGTCAGTTCCGGTGATCCGTCACAGTTGATATGAATAGGGCTTCCAACAGCTTTTGATTGATTAAATTTGATATTAATAGTTTGTTCAGGGGATCGAATTGGTGGAATAGATGGACAGAATGCCAGCACGTGTAACTTGATATCAATGTCATTTTCTGGGCCTACTGTAGGCTTATTTCCAGTTTTAACGGTGCATAGTCCCAATAAATAATCCTTTTTAATATTCCATGAAGGCACATGTACACCAGCTTGTGTTTGTAAATTGGTACACATTTTATCGACAGTGGAAAAGATAAGCAGACAACTGTTAAAAACTGAATGAAAGAAATTGTTGTTGGTGTTTATTAAGACGGTTGTCTTGGTTGCTAAGTTAAAGCACGTTTCATTGGCTAATATAACGTCATACAAATCTGGGTTGGAACACACAGAATAAACAAGATTTCCTAAACTTGGGCAAAATTCTGTCGATTGGGATGGTTTTACCGGAAGTGGTATATAGTAATTAGGTTTGGAATTTGAAGAAGAGGTCGATGGGAAACAATGGTTGTCTTCACTCGGCCATGATAACGCGGCCATCAAGACAGACGTCTCCCCATTCAGCCTCACCTTCCCTTCAATGAATGCTCCTACGTATGGATACTGACTACCACATTTGGTGACTCGTAGAGGTAAATAAGGTACACAAGTTTTATTGTCTGTTATTGGATTATTGACTGTTGTATGATAAGCTAATGTATATAACAATTTGGTTAACACTGAAACTCCACTATCTATTATTACTGACTGGACAAAGGCTGTGGGTTGCTGGGAATTTAATAACTTTTTAGTACCTTGGAATATCCGCAATTCCATGTTTCTCAAATCCTCTGACATATCGTAGGAAATGTGGGTGCCGTCTGGAAGCATTACTGAAGCTAAGGTGTTTCTGGTTCCTAAGCGAATGTGCGTATCACTATCACTTCCGTCGGTGACGCTAATATGTTTTAAAGATTCAATCTTTCCGCTATGGGACTTGTGACCATAAGCTCTGATAGTCAATCCACTATCATCTTCTATTTGGAAGATACGACTGTCGCCTTGATGTGGAAAAGTTTTATATTCGACAATTGACGGAAATTTTAGCGAAGACGTAGTCGTGGTCTGGATAATACTGGATAACGTCGTAGTAAGATACTCGGTTGTCCAGTCAGTGTTATTTTCAGCTGGAAATGATGATGTCACTTCCGGTATTGATGTGTGATCGTCTGCTGATTTTAAACAGATGATGAGAATTATGGCAACAAAGGCAAGGATCATAGTGGTAAGAATGATGGCCGTTAAAATTCGACATCTTGTTCTTTTGGAGGTTAGAGGTAGTTTCTTCTTCAATTCATTTTTATTTTTGAAACTTGAACCATTTTGACAAAAGTGACCGTTAGTTCTGTGGCTGGATTGTGACGAAGCCTCGTTTTGAACTGTTGGTTCGATAATTAAACTTGTTCTAGGATCAGCGTCATCAGTTTGGTTAGACTGGGTTCGGTATGACGTCATCACCAATTCCCCCATCCTCTGAAAAGAGATAATTTAAATGGATTAGAATAAAAGAAGTAGATCGGTCTGCTTCCCTTAGTATTTAATAAAAAAAATCTTTTAGGTTTTAAAATCCACAAATATAAATAAACAATAAATCAAATGCAGAAATATTTGTTTATCTTTTAAAAGTTAAATATGTGTGTCAAATAGCGACAGGTATTTGAACTATTTTGACGTATCTATAGATGTCAGCAAGCCATATTAATATAATGTTACAGCAATAAAACAACATGTCGTGTTCAGTAGAGATAAAAACAAAATAGCAGAATATACGTCCATATATGGATTGATTTAATATTCAGTTTGGTTGTTTTTGAACGGGAATGTGCAGATAAACGAGACTCCATTGTATTGTTGTTATGGTGAATAACGATCTAGTGTCAGTACAAGATATCGAAAAGCGAATAATTGGATGAAAACATGTTATGTCATAGCAGAGAGGTTTTATTTGCTGACCACCTCAGTCCAATATGATTGATATAGAATTGATTGATCTGTAGAATTATGTCTAAAAAAAACTTGTTCTGTGAATTTCTGGATCCTTTATACATAACGACCAATGTAGAATTAATGTAGAATGTATAATGTATAATGTATAATGTATAATGTATAATGTATAATGTATAATGTATAATGTATAGTTTATAGTGTATATTGTATAATGTATAATAATGTATAATGTAGAATGTATAATGTAGAATGTAGAATGTAGAATGTATTTTAGGTCCTAATCATTAACTGCTATTTGTAAATCCTGAATCTAGAATAAAGACTTATCATATTTATCTGTTATATTGTTATATCAACCATCAGATTTGATTAGAGACTTTCCATTTTAAAGAGATGAAGATTGCTTTCGGTGCAAGCGAGGCAGTGATTCTTCATGTGAATACAATGGTGAGCTATAAAATACTTATTCAAAAAGAAACATTGTGTAAGATTAGTTCGGTCTAATTTGTTACTATAGACCGAAGACAGTTGTCACTTATTTTCACACGATGTTTGTTGTCAAGTGAGGAAGTTTAAATGAGATCGTGTGAAGATAAATAGAAACGTGCGGTCGTGACAAAACAGGAGATGGTAGTCCTCTACAACTTGATGTTGAGAGAATCAAAAATTTGAAAACAGAAAACAGAAAAGTAAAGAATGTTTTCAACAATGATATCTGCCTTCTATGAATTATTGTTTTCTTTCGACATCTGACCATCTTAGATACTGTCCGAGTAACTATAGCCAAAACCATCCTATTCAATCACCGGTATCTGAAAGTTCACGATGAAATAAAATAGGCCATCACTGTGCACTAACTTGGTCAATTTGAGCCAACACGAGCCAAGATAAAGGTGGTATTTAGATGGTGATGAAAGGGTTTTCTGGTAAAAATGATATCATCACAATAAGATAAGAACCTTTATTAAAAACATCAGACTTTCTGATAGCAGATAAGAATAGAACATGTCTTTCAAACTACTGTGAGATCAAATACCTTACTCTGGCTGTTCGTTTTCAAATACAATACGGGACTAGGGTTCAAAATGTTTTCAGGCTTATGGTGGTATTATTACACTTGTAGGAAGGTGTAAGGGGTTAACCAACGACATATCCCTCGGTAACCATTTTGGATAGTTTAAAGAGTTAAAGGTGTTAAATTGCACCAAACCAAAATAAAATAGAAAACAAAAAGAGACGATGGAAAATACATGAAGTTTATATAATTTCACCTCTGACTTGTCTAATTTACTCGAGGTCGAGTGTAACAGTCCTGGCGAGATAGAAGATGTATATAAAAATTCTTCATGACTCACAGTCGTATTAAATCTGACATTTCATTTCAATTATTTTAAATTTAGAGCTCGGTTTACTTGATTTATTCACAGGTTGTATTTGTCAAAAAGCTCTCCTTGTATTAGACCTTATTCCTGTTCAATGTTGATTGAAACCTGTTTCTATACTAGAAGATGAAATACAAAGAAACCAATCTGCCTCGTCAGTTTAATCAGAGGTTCCCACATAGAAAAGTATTCGCTGTTTTTCCTGTAGGTACAGTGCAAAGAACTTTCATAAATAAAAGACAAGTATTTTAGTCTCAAATGATGGTTCCATAACTTGCATTCAAACATAAAACAACCTGGTCTATTTATTCAAATAAACATGATTTAAAACAGTGTAATATTCTTTGTTATTCTATAATAGAACCATAAAATAGAATGGAAATTATTTCAGCTGCATCGCATGAGTCACCGTTTTATTTTTAATTCAAATTCAAACAATAAACTTCAGAAAGGTGAAGCTTGAGAACTCAAGCTAGAATTTAGATCATATCTAGACAGACGAGTAATAAGATCAATAGCTTTATCAAAACCAAAGAGAATAAACTCAATATTTTAAATCAAAAGACACAAAGAAAATCAGATTTGCAACATGGCAAAGTCAGGGAACGTCAGGTCAACATTTTATAAATTTAGAATTATCAAGTAACATTTTTGTAACTTTCATTCTAAAATGATTTAAAGATTTTACTGCAACTGGTAATCTTACATTGCCTTTATTCTGATATTTTGAATTGTGTTGTGGTAAAAACTGTCTAGTATTACTATCGTGGTATCTAAAAACTGTCTAGTATTACTACCGTGATATCTAAAAACTGTCTAGTATTACTACCGTGATATCTAAAAACTGTCTAGTATTACTACTGTGGTATCTAAAAACTGTCTAGTATTACTACCGTGGTATCTAAAAACTGTCTAGTATTACTACTGTAATATCTAAAAACTGTCTAATATTACTACTGTAATATCTAAAAACTGTCTAGTATTACTACTGTAATATCTAAAAAACTGTCTAATATTACTACCGTGGTATCTAAAAACTGTCTAGTATTACTACTGTGGTATCTAAAAACTGTCTAGTATTACTACCGTGGTATCTAAAAACTGTCTAATATTACTACTGTAATATCTAAAAACTGTCTAGTATTACTACCGTGGTATCTAAAAACTGTCTAGTATTACCACCGTGGTATCTAAAAACTGTCTAATATTACTACTGTAATATCTAAAAACTGTCTAGTATTACTACCGTGATATCTAAAAACTGTCTAATATTACTACTGTAATATCTAAAAACTGTCTAGTATTACTACCGTGGTATCTTCAGTAGATATAGTAGGTAGATCTAGTAGAGATTTTAATTAACTGAGGTAATGAGTTGTAAAAAACCAAGTGATTTATTTCATTCTTACACCTGTTACTATATTTTATGTCTTTTTAAATTGTAGTTAATTATATACCGGGTAGATTCCATAGTCCGATATATTTATTGTTTTAAACATAGCATGATAAGAAACTTCGGGCAGAATAAAGAAAATATGTTAAACGAGAGGTAATAAAGAAATGACGATGGGCAAAACTTTTAATTTAAACGATCCTGAATAATTGTCAGGTTACAATCATATTATACCAATACGAACTCAAAATAAATGTTTTAAAACCTAAATTTTAAACAAAACAAAACGGAATCTTACAATCAACAAGAAAAGTAAAACGACAAATATACAATGGTTGGGTTAACGTACACAAGGTAAATACAGGTTACAATAAAGGTATAGGAAGTTATGAATCAAGTTGATAAAATAGGGAGCGGTGTAGAATAATAATAACACTATGTGAATTAAAAACTAAGGTTTTATTGTTGAGGTGAGAGGTAAATTAGTGCATTTTATAATCTAGATGTTCACTTCACTGTTTCTAGATATCTAAATTATCTGAGGTATATCTGAATCAGTCAAACTGCTGTAGTTAGAAACATCCGAATCTATTCCCCTCCCCCTCTATACCTATGTTTTATTTCTGTATCAAAGTAGATAATAGTTTTATGTTAATAAATTAAATTGTATATAACAATAAGATATAACTGGTTAACCAACCATATTAAACCTCTACCTAATACTAAATTAAATAGTAGTTCAGCTTCGTTTCAAACGGTAATTGCTTCAGGTCCTGTCCTTTCTGACCCGACAACAACAAGTATATTTTTAACCCTGGACCGTAACGATATGACAATTACTTATAATTAGTTATCACCCATTTAAAATGTTCTTGAAATTATCTATATTGTGTCTCTGGACCCTGTTCTGTTTGTTAAATGAATCAGCTACACTCTTTAAATTTCAACAATCATCACCACTCTGTTAAGTTCTATTTCGGATTTTATTTACAGCTAATATTGCTGTTTTTATACACAGTGTCAATATTGAGTTTAAATTCACTTTCTCGTGGGTTATTGAATCATAAGTCTATAAATTCAAAATAAAGAAATTTAACTACAGGGGTCAGTAGAGTATCGGTTTTATTATGGATACTGTTCTTTATCAATATGATTATAATCCAATCATACAATCGTTCAATATATATCTCTGTCATTCACATATATTTATTTTATTTTATTCCTGTCATATATGCATGTAGTTTGTCGTATTTCTTGTTTCTGATCTATCTTACAACGAAATTTTCATAGTTGAGATGAATTAGATGTCACCAAATTCACACTCTTTAATTTAGCTTTAATCATAAGAAAGTGTAAAATCTTTCTGAAACACCTTCATATCAATGTCCGAGTATTATCATACTATAATTCACAAACCCGACAAAATAATTAGTTTGGTCAAAGTTTAATCAATGAATGAATGAAAAATGTTAACAAAGAAACACCCAAATAAATAAACATGAACAATTTTTCACAAATAAAATAAAATATGTCTCTTACCGTTTAGATTTTAAAACATTTTCAATACAATCCGAGTTTAAGTTATGTTCAACTGTCACACAGCGTGTAGAAATACACCATCCTAGCATACTTTACATATCATATATTATTATATCCTACTCTACTACTATCATTATAATTCTTATCGGGGTATTCGAGGTGAACTGTCACGTGATACATAGTCAGGTATATCCAGTAGGTAACAGCTGGTGGTCTAATCGAACAAAGCTTCCTTCTTGATTATCCAGACTTCAGATGCACTGTGGGTTAAGAAAGAGACCTGATGATCGAGTAATCAGGAAACAGGTTTTGTGTTTACGAAGCGATTGATCTGTTTCAATAAATTTACTCTTTATGAATGAAATGTAAAAGAAAGTAAAGGTCTTGAAAACCGAGTAAAACCAGCTGTTGAAGGCGTGGTTATTGAGTTGTTCAAATCCTGATCCCGAGGCTATTCTAACGGAACAACTGTTCCTGGTGATTCACTTGGCTTTGATCTCTATTTAATATAACACATTTTACATTTACAATTCTATTTCCAATATTTCATAGTATAGGGTTGTTGTTTAACTGTTGTAAATTAGTATTTCAGAACTTTAAGCATGACAGAAAATTCGTTCCTGGGAGGATTCTACTATCAATGAAACGTGAACAAATTCCGTTTATACGTTTATACATCAAGAGATAGTTAGTGCACCATAGCAGTTAATTAAGTTGATGATTTTACCGTTATTATTATAAAATTTATCTATTGAATGCTAATAGTGCTGTCGTTTGTTTTATGATCAGAATAGAAGTTGAAAAATATAATCATTGTTACCCCCCCCCCCCTAACCCTAACCCGAAACCTAACCCTAACCCGAAACCTAACCCTAACCCCCCCCCGTCCGTCTATCTTACGTTAGATAAATTCTGTATAATATTCAGCCTGGGGGTATTTACAAGGAGTGGGGTTAACAATGAAAGAAATTGATAGACCACTTTAATTTCTACAAGATAATCTAAGATTAAACTAATTGTTTTTTCTAGTGTTATTAAATTATACCCGAGGTTATCCCCGCCTTTTTGTTACAGAATAATGTATCATGTCTCGATCAGATACCAATACCCCCGGGCCACCGTGTACTAGCACCCCCCTAACAATCAACCACTCCCCCTGTTTATTCTGTAAACAAGTAGCTTTAGATAATTGAATATCATTCCATTTATAAAAGATTTCAGATGAATTTAAAATCAATCCTATAATGTAAACATGTCTGTTATAATGACCAAAGTGAAATGAAATATTTAAAATGTTTTGAAATAGATATTTAATAATATAACATGGTTGGAGTAAAAAATATATCAACTTAATTTCTTATCTTTTAAAATAATCGCCAAGTCTGCACATTCTTACCCTTTCTTTCTCACAGCACATGTTCTCTGTGTAATTTGATGTTTCTAGTTCGTGTTGAAAGTTGATGAGGTAAGTGGTATGGATCGTGGGAGTTGATATAAAAAAATGAACAGAAGAAAATATTTGTGTTAAATGCCAAATGTTAGATGATAATATATTGTGAAATAAAGCTAAATCTAATCCATTCTGGATATCCAAACTTGTATCCAATATTCTTAGCTCGAATCAACTTGCATCAATTCAACTGTAGATCTTTATCTATGGAATACTCAGTGATATTATTTGTTCCAGTAATAATCTGTAATAGGATCAGTCAGGTCACTAGAATTATAAACCTTGTAATAAGTCTGATGTAGTATGTTTTGGTGAATTGTAGGAATTTGGATAATCTTTTTATGAAAGTGAACTAGAAGGTTAAGAGTAGAATCAAGTCATATGTTATAGCATTCTATTTCTATATTGTTAATATTTTTAATAAAACATGTCCTAAGTGAGATAATAACGTGTTGAACCACGTGATGAATTGTGGAGGAATCGAGAAGAAAGGATGAAGTAAGAAATTCCAGCAAGAGAAGTTTTGGTGTCGATGTCAAGGAACCTGATAGAAAACATCTGATGTAATCTAGGCTTAATGGAACTTCTTATCATAAACACATTGTTTTCAGTAATCTTACACTTAAACTTTCTTGTATAATAAACTAAATCAACGTCTAATATATAGAATATCATTTAGTTACCTTTAGTCTTGGCATGTCCACTTGTAATTAACTTGTAATATGATTGGATTTTTGTCATCCAGAATACAGAATATTTTAAAATCTAGTATCACCCTCATTAGCTGAATCTGATAAACAAACTAAAGGCTGAAATATATTCTATAGTTGAGTAATAAAAACAGGTTTGTAAATAAGATGATGTATGATATAATTTGATAATGTCAAACTACACTGTAATAAATAATAAAAATCTGCTTCACGAGACGAGAAATTTTTACATCTGGTAACAATATGTCGAGTGGTTTTAACACTGAACATTACAATTACTTTTTGAAATACTATAATTACTTTTAGAAACATTACAATTACTTTTAGAAATACTACAATTACTCTTTGAAATATTGCAATTACTATAACAAATACTACAATTACTATTATAAATATTACAATCACTCTTTAGAACAATTACTTTTAGAAATACTATAATTACTATTACAAATATTACAATTACTATTAAAAATATTACAATTACTCTTAGAAATACAACAATTACTCTTTGAAATATTACAATTACTCTTAGAAATACAACAATTACTCTTTGAAATATTACAATTACTCTTATATATACCACAATTCCATCATGGTAATAGTAATAATTTCAAAATCTTGTGCCTCTCATGATTTCAGATTTACTCCGCAATACTCTTTGACCTAGTTGTAAATTCGTGAATTTCCCTTGAAGTAAAAGTCTCATTGTAGATAAGATATGGTAGTCCAGTTCGAACAGAGGTATCCCGGCCTGTCAGCTATGCATCAGTTTTAAACGGGGCTAAAAACCAATCAATCAAAGTTCGGAGTTGGAAATCCTAGGTTCAACTCTTCTCCTTTCAAACTCATCTACAACGTTTCTCTCAAAGAATTTCTAGGGTATACAAAAAGGTACTCTCGGCGTTTAGGAAGAGATCACGCGAAAACTGACCAGCGGTCAGTGTGGTATAATACACTGTGTAAATAGAAAACGTGTGTTCAGATAAAAGGTGAAAGGTGAAAGAATTAATTAAAGGTAATAATGAGAATGTTTTATAAACAGATCAAATATATCCACCTTCATTTTATCTCGGGGCTAATTTCACTTCAGGTCTTTTTAGAAGTTAGTGAATGAATGAATGAATGAATGAATGAATGAATGAATGAATGAATGAATGAATGAATGAATGAATGAATGAATGAATGAATGAATGAATGAATGAATGAATGAATGAATGAATGAATGAATGAATGAATGAATGAATGAATGAATGAATGAATTAGGATTTAACTAAAGAGCTAACTAAACAGCTAATAAAACTCAAGCTTTCGTATTGTAGGAACATCACTTGTTCATAGATTTGATAATCAAGTTTATATATTACATTATATCTCATATCGCTCAGGTTTTCTGGTACATGTTTCCCCATCATTAATTCAGGGCCACGCTTTTTTTTCATACGAAATCAAATCCACAGATAAAATTTACAAAACCTGGTATGTAAATTAGTAGTTATAGAAATATTTCAAGTATCTAGGTATATTTTATACGAGAGAATAAACTTATATACAAATTTAATCAACCCTGTAAATTCTGTCTCGATATTGACTTGAATTAATTCAGTCACCCGACCCCTGTTTTAATATAACTTTATATTGTGATCTTGTATGAGTATGAATATATCATGTTATTTTATGATGTAATAGTAGACTAGAAATGGTGTAAAGTTGAGGGACTGTGAATATCAAACTGTGCCACACACAATAAAAATTATATGTTAACTGATAAACCTTACCTTGCCTTAACTTTTAAACTTTTTTGTAAGTAAATTTTTTAAAGCTCACACACGACTGCCATATCATCAAAACTAGAGTAGCTCTAAATCATTTCTTAACAATATCAGAATGCTATTAGTAACCAAAGATAATTCGTTGAAAATACTCTAAGCACACAATTGTCCATTTTCGTGACTTCCGTTTTAAACGCAAACCATTCCCTAACATCTGAAACACATCTCTGACGTCCGAGTAAGAAAGTTTATTTTCCAAATGAATAAACCATCTTATGAAGTAGGGCCCTGGGAGACGATACGAGACATAAGCAGGTGATTATTAACAATATAAATACCAAACATAATCTACAGTATCAAAATATGTTAACAGGTTAACATTCCAGTTGGAAGGTTAGGGTTAAATATTTCTCTCGACTCACTGTGGTGTGAGTATCAGTAAACAATAAACATATCCAGTGTTATAGATTGATCCGTTTGCTTCATTTGATCATTGTTGATGGAATAATCGAGGAATTTGATTTCTGATTTCACAAAATACATATATATCTATAGTGTGTATACTTGTCATTTGACCAAACTTGATTTTCTCGCCGTATTCATGGTGAGAACTTGCAGTTTGTGTTAATTCCTGCTTACCAGAGCTTTTTGCCAAGATTGACGGATAGGAATTTATTTCCACCAACAAGGTCAGTGTCTGTAGGTAGCAGTTTGCGAAGATTAAATCAAGACTTCAATCTGATCTGAAATGAAGCCTGTTGAGAGATCAGTAACAACCTGGACAGGGGATATATAGAAATAATATTACTTCCTGTTTGACCGGAAACCAGGATATTTTTAGTGAAAACATCAACACCAAGTATATCTATATTTCAGGTACCATTAATAATTTCATTTACTGAATCAGCTTGGTCTACCTGCAACTCTGTAATTCAACAGTACTCTAGACTATATCCCCAATCGAAAGAACTTGCACTGTGTTCATATCATTAGACCAACCAACTGTGGACTATATCATTTCGTATCGTATTTTATTGTATTGCTACCACAGAAAGTAAATTATAACATTGTTTGGTTTATGAACAAATTCTCCTTCGTGGACGAAAATGAACTAATTATTACCGTGGAATGTTTTTTTAATACTATAATATTCACCTGAATCTGTTTATATCGAGTGAGAGATAAGGATTTCAGTATCACCAGATATTTCTAGCTCGTTGAACCGATTTGATGTTTTTATATGATTTTCTATTCAAGAGATAAGTAATAGATTTTACCTATTGAAGTTTCATATACCATATTATATTTCATGAACAGTTTGACTTGGTTCAAATTATAAAAGACTTTTAATAAGAAGTTGGGTTCATGTACTCATTTGTTCACGGTTAGGTATGTTTTAGACTGGGACAAAAACCACAAATCATTTGGTATAACAATCAGACTTGATAAAGGGATGGTTCATTCTGAATTAAAATGTAATTTCAAATAGGTACAGTTGTTTCAGTTGCGAGGGTTCGAATTTTAAGATTGTAAATAGTTTTCAGAGAATTTGGCTGTCCCACGCCTGAATTCAACAGACTAAAGTTGGTTCATTCCGCTATCCTCCATTATGATTATATAAACTATATTGTGTTTCTTTACAACTTTTATACAGTCTTTAAATAGATTCTGAATAGGTATCGTACAACTGAGATAGCTATAGGTATAAATTTTAATTAAAGGTCAGAGGTCAGCCATTGGTTCTCGTTCAGTAAACGAAGGTTATTGTCCAAACCGATTGCATAGATATGAAAATGACTGTGATGTTTCTGGTAGATGTCAGTAAAAATATTATTTGTTGGTATATAACAAGATATACTATAAAATTTACAAACAAACCAGCTCTAAATATTTTCCAAGTTGCGATGAAACTATTACAAACTCATTTGACCAGTCTTTCAAGTTGAAAACTTGTTAGGCTTAATGAACCGTTTACCTGTTAACGGATTTTAGAGGGTTAACGGGTCAATTCTTGTGTATTATTTAATTGAGTTGGTTTCGCTCCAAAAGAGTTAATTATTCCAATTCTCCAGGCCTGACTAATTGAAGAAGAAATTATCGAACTGTAAAAACTTTGGTTATGGATCGAATTCTATCCTCTTTTGACAAAACAGATATGGCATTCCAATAAGTGGTTCGCCTGGTGGTAAAAGTAACTGATCCGCTGTTTACAAGTTCATGTTGCCTTGTGTAGACAGACAGACAGTTATGCACTAGTAATTGTATCATTTGAAAAGTCTTTTTTCAATCAAATATTATATCTAAAAGATAAGTTTGCTGCAAGCTCAATATATATTGGTCAGTCTAGGTAAATAATATGAAAAGAAAAATGAGACAGTCGACCAGAGAGATTGATAAAACACATATGAATGAGATCAAAGTATATTATTCTGGGTTCAGAACACTTAATAAATACTCCGTACATAACCTTTCTTTGTTATCAGTTATATTTCTACAATATAAAAATAGAAAAGGAAAAAGGAGACCGCCTTATGTCAACCCTCGAGCCTCTTTTGACTAGAATAGTCAAGGTAATTGAAGGATTGTTGAGTGAGAGTCAGAGACGATATAATGTTGAGGATACTTAGATGAATACAAGGAAACCCTTCACCATGTTAGTCAACCTTACTGGTTATATTTCTTCCTTATTCTGATTACATTTGACGAGGATCTCAATACTTATACTGTCAACACTGTTTCAGATATTCAATCCTCAATGGTGTACGTCACTGCACTCGGCTGTCAGAAGTACAACAACTGGTATTATTTACGACCAGAATAACAACCATGTAATAATTAAAGTATAATATTATCTCACTCAATACAAGTATAATAACAACAAGATAAGATATACAAGCTTACAATTGAAGGCGTTTAGAGTAGAAAAATGTTAAACTCGAGTGATGCATGTTTTTATAAAATATCACCCCACCCACACTTACATTATACACATATTTGCTGTCTTCTTTTATCTTTTATACATATGTCGCTTTTAACTTAACATTCCATTATACCAAATGTCCTGTAGCCCACCTAACTTACAGGTCTACAAAATAAATTACAACCTCTAGCTTGATAAAATTGTCAAATGTAAAATTTTTACTTCCTTCAAACTTTTTTCGGTCTTTAGTATTAGGACCCTTATGCCCCCTCCCCCTCCCTCCCCCCACCCATAACACCCCCGAAATCCAAAAGTCATCAAAATCAACGAGTTTGGCATGCAATAAGTAATGAAGTAAATTTCAATGTGTTGAACTTATCGAGTGTACTAGCCTGTAGATAAAAAAATGTGGTTTATTTTGGTTGATGATATTTCGAGAGATGTGCACCCAGTCTGTTCTTACATCTAAAATCAGGTGTATATTTCTCTACAATCTAAAGTTAAAACAATAGACAAATGTGAAGTATACTGAAGGAATGTGATGCAGTTTATTTTAATTCATACACCAAGATCTGGACTAATTTTTTTTTTCACAAAACATCCCGAATGGTCAACAGAGTTTTATCTTGTATGTCTCTATCTATTTTGTTAATTATCCCTTCATAATGAATCTCGTGATCGAAGTAACCACTGCCAAGTAGTTGATATTGTAATGGTAAAAGTGAAAATTGTTCGCGATGGGTTACCTCCCTTGTACTGTATTTATATTTTTGTGTTTAAGTAATGATAATAACAACGATAACAAATTTGATATGATTAAATATGAAAGGGAATAAAATAAACAGGAAGGGCGGTAATTTAGAAATAATGAAATGAATTTTACTCCTCATGCGTCAATATTCATCAACTCACGAAGTGATTTTTAATCTCAAGTTCATCTTTGTCTACCAAAGACTGCAAACTGGAAGAGTAGAGAAACCTTAACATCGAGAGTTGATCTTCTTCTCACACGTTCTATTTAACTTTTTTATTTCCCATGTCTCGGTTATTTTAGAATTGTGTCTTGATTATAAACACGAAGCTACGTTTAGTCTGAGACATATTGTCGTCTATGGTTGGAATCATTTGCCTGATTCAGTCGTTTTCTAGTTCTTCCTGATCCTATCATCTGAATCCAGTTCACTATTCTATTCACAGGAATATCCAACAATAAAAACACCAAGAGAAATAACCCCAGAAATACAAACGATGAAATACCGAGAGTTTCTTCTGTTTGGTTTGTATTATATACGGATGTCTTCGTTCGTTTAGTCTTTGATAAAGTTTGTTTCGGTAAAATTAGTTTTTTAGCAATTTGTTTACTCGCATTTTGTACTCTTTCTAGTTTCGTCACGGTTCCTATTTTACAAGGACAAGCGCACTGACATGAACCCAGCTTACATGGTTTGTGAAATATTGGCTTGAAATTGGCCTCATCAGTGGTTAGTTCTGTAGTTGTTGTCAGTTCTGTAGTTGTAGTCGCCCCTGTAGTTGTAGTCGGCTCTGCACTTGCAGTGGGTTCTGTTGTCGGTTCTGTAGTTGTATTCGGTTCTGTAGTTGTATTCGGTTCTGTAGTTGTATTCGGTTCTGTAGTTGTAGTCGGCTCTGTACTTGCAGTGGGTTCTGTTGTCGGTTCTGTAGTTGTATTCGGTTCTGTAGTTGTATTCGGTTCTGTAGTTGTAGTAGGTTCTGTAGATGTAGTAGGTTCTGCTGTAGTTGGCTCTGTAGTTGTTGTCGGTTCTGTAGTTGTAGTAGTCTCTGTAGTTGTAGTAGGCTCTGTAGTTGTAGTAAGCTCTGTAGTTGTAGTTGGCTCTGTAGTTGTAGTAGGTTCTGTAGTTGTAGTAGGCTCTGTAGTTGTAGTAGGCTCTGTAGTTGTAGTGGGCTCTGTAGTTGTACTAGGCTCTGTAGTTGTAGTAGGCACTGTAGTCGTAGTTGGCTCTGTAGTTGTAGTAGGCTCTGTAGTTGTAGTAGGCTCTGTAGTTGTAATAGGTTCTGTAGTTGTAGTAGGCTCTGTAGTTGTAGTAGGCTCTGTAGTTGTAGTTGGCTCTGTAGTTGTAGTTGGCTCTGTAGTTGAAGTTGGCTCTGTAGTTGTACTAGGCTCTGTAGTTGTAGTAGGCTCTGTAGTTGTAGTAGGCTCTGTAGTTGTAGTTGGCTCTGTAGTTGTACTAGGCTCTGTAGTTGTACTAGGCTCTGTAGTTGTACTAGGCTCTGCTGTTGTTGTGATAACTGAAATGCCAAGTCAGGTACGTAAAAGTCTGTAGATATCACATCATTGGTATAAATATAAAATTAATACTACTTCCCATGCCATTCATAGTACAACAGTAGAATATAAATATTTCAGCATCTTGACAATCAAGAATCAGAAATCAAGTCCAGGATGTTATCAATTTAATATTAAACTTCTCTCAGACTACTTGTTTTGCAAAATTATCTTTTTTTTAACCATGTGTTTAAACCATCTGATAACTTGATTTTAATAAATACCTGTTTCACACAAACTTCCTGTATATTCTAAACCACAGTTACAACGAGTTGTCGTTCCTACTTCTAAACACCAACCATCATTCTGACATGGATTAGTAGCACATTCGTTGACACCTGGAATATAAACAATTTAGCTGACAATCTAACCTTCTGGTAAAACTTGATTTAACCACAGAAACTGTTTTGGAAAAGTTATTACAATTTATAAGTAGTAGGGACACAGGCTGAAAATAGGTCAGTTGTCTGAAGATTACATGATGTGAAACTCTGAGTAACAAAGTAACAAAGTTCTGTTTCAATAGTTCTATATTGCTCTACAATTGATGTATGAGCACTATTTTAACAGTGAATATGTATATTGTATAATTTATATTAATTTCTAATCTATAATGTTTTTTTATATTAAATGTTGCCCTTTACCTGAGTAATCTGAAAGGCCGAAGCCACCTGGAAAACCAAAACCTCCTCTAATTTCAGTTCCGTACATCCAGACCATTAAACTATCACTAGATTCATATGACACAAATCCACTCACACTCTTAATGACGTATGCATGATCAGAGCAAACGTCACTCCACCCGGAAGTAACAGAAGGTGTAATAAGATTGGTGCTCTCTTTCTGTGAAACCAATATGGCGTATATGTTATTGTAATTGAGTTGTGCCGAATCCATGACGTACTGAGTGGTATATTTATCAACAGGGGGGACAACCATCATCAATGGATCTCCATGATAATAAGTATCAATTCCGTTATCGACGTCCTTACCACCCATATATACAACTACTAACACAGGCTTATTACTAGTAAAACACACTACTTCCCCTTTTATCAACGACAACTCCTGGAAGTCACTGTTACCCAGTACATAATCTATACCTTTTATTGTAAACGTAGTTGAAGATTGAGTCGCAACAACTCTCATTGCGGCATTGTATGTTTGAAAATCAGGAGCTACGACAATAAATTTTGTTCCTAGTTCAGAAACGGGGGGCAGCATTTCGACTAAATGATCACACCGAGACTGCGATGGTATGTCGGCACATCTATTCCCCGAAAGCATAGCTACTGGCTTGTTAGACGCCACTATCGAGCCAGTAGAGTCATACAGACAATATATATTAACCACGTCTGCGTCATTCATGGTAAATGTGAACGCATATCCGTCAACGTAATCTTTAAAACCGTTAATATAAAAACATTTATTATCTCCCTTTAGTGTTATAGTAACTGTTGTCCCGTCTTCGATGGCTATCACTACAATTTGGGCTGAAAGAAATCGGGAATAGATATTATGTACTGTAAATCATTCAATAAGTTATAATGTTTTAAAAGATCGGGTATAGATCATGCTTTATACGCGCTACGAGTGAATACATTAATAAGCGGAGAACAGACTGAGAAAAACATAATTCCGACTATAAGTCTATAAGTGTATTTATAAACAATATCTGTTTAAGTTTAGACATTAATCCTTATTTTCCTTGTTACCTTTTTTGAAATGATCCGATTTTCTAATTATATCACTATTACAACCCTGCTCTTTTACAATGAGATAAATGTTCCAAAAGGTCATGTAAATCGGTGTATACTGACATTTTGAGAGAACCTTAAGGCTAATCCATTAGATATAAAAAACTTAAAAAAATGATTGAAAGATGGACTGCAAAAATTACTTACGTCTTCCGTTCTCGTAATTCACCACTATATATTGTTTTCCAAGGGAAGGTACTGGAAGAGTTAAGTAACCTTCATTCGACGTTTGACGTCCAGTGAACCCATAAACAGACACCGGGGCCGAGGAGGTGATCACAACAGCCTTTTTTGGTATAACTTCAAGAACTGGTACGGCTTTATAACTCTCATCTAAAACCAGGTTGTATGATTGACCTGGAGCCAATGTTATTTCTGTGACGGGTGTATTTAATTTGTTCAGATTTATTCTAACAGTGGTTTGCTCCCTGGTCGTTATTACTATCACGTTCAAATAAATATAATCGGAATTTTGAACATTCACCAGGAAACTGAGATAGAAATGGTTCCCCCATTGATCCAAACCTAAACCTGAAATTAAAATATAAAAGATAAATGAAATATATAAGATTCAGTACAGTGTCTTGACTTCCTTGATTTGTTCATTGTGTAAATCTCATTGAAAACTCGAAAAACGAAAAAAGAAATTATCCATGTATTATAAAAGCCTTCACGACGACGAAACAAATTGTATGTTGACATTTGTCTAAAATCTTGGAGTTGGTTGATGTTTTGTGTATCGGTGTAATTATTTTTAAGACTGTCGGTACCTTGGTATATTCTTTATAGAATATTATAGATAAAAACATTATCATAGATTAATATACTGACCTCGACACAATGGTAAACACCATAATATCTGAAATAATTATATATTTAATAATAGTTATCATTAATTGATGGTGTTTAGGACTTCGAGAGAGAGTGCTCATGGCTTATAATTTTTGTTTGAAATTCTCTTCTAACTAATAATAAACTACCAAAAAATCATACTTGATACCATCAATCCATGCTACTACGGTCAGTTTTCCTTTACCGTTACAAATAAAATTTTGGTTTATTATTAATTTCGCTAGGGTTATTATCTAGCGCTGGGTTTAGGACAGACCTTAGCCCGACGAATCTGGCTCTGCTCAGTTCCTCACACTACCAGTGATGATGAATATCCGTATGTCATATCTGGGGAACTGGGAGCCAGATTTATAGAGCTAGACCTATATAGTTTCATAGTTTATTAAGGTGACAAGCGTCAAATCACTCACCAAAAACTTCAGAAAGTTCCGCATCTCCATTTGTCCTTGTGGTGAACTCTATTAAAAAAAATGGTCTCTTTCACAAAATAATATAATATATTATATATGTCCGTTAGTTACTAATCTAGATATTAACACTTTAGTTATGTTGCAGGTAAATATATATAAATATTCATATGTACAGGTTATCTAAGAGTGTTGCAGACATTGTTCACTATTTCTGAATTCTATGTAAACACTCTTAATGAATTCTATGTAAACACTCTAAGTGCATTCTATGTAAACACTCTAAGTGAATTCTATGTAAACACTCTAAATGAATTCTATTTAAACACTCTAAATGAATTCTATGTAAACACTCTAAATGAATTCTATGTAAACACTCTAAATGAATTCTATTTAAACAATCTAAATGCATTCTATGTAAACACTTTAAATGAATTCTATGTAAACACTCTAAATGAATTCTATTTAAACAATCTAAATGAATTCTATGTAAACACTTTAAATGAATTCTATGTAAACACTCTAAATGAATTCTATTTAAACACTCTAAATGAATTATATGTAAACACTCTAAATGAATTCTATGTAAACACTCTAAATGAATTCTATTTAAACACTGTTTCTGCAACTCAATACAATGACATGGTTTGCAGAAATATTAATCCATATACGTTTTTTTAGATTATTGAAACTCCTCCAGATTGTAACTTGACAGTGATTTCTCAATAATTCTCCCAATCATGTTCTAATTCAACACAAGATGTCATGCTATAATTATAGTAGATTTTATTATTAATATTTACAAATGTTGAACAAGACTTCACTTTCTTTCAAGTACCAATTCTAGTTTTTTATTCTATTCTAATCAGGAAACAATGGTGGTTGTAATATATCACTCATTAAAGATATTGTTAACTTATTTTAGTATTTTAGAATCATTATCGCTCTAATTCTTGTAAATTATTGTTGTATATTTCATCATCACGAGGAGAAACTTGACATAAATATACAATTATTTTTTTACACATATTTCATAATCCAGATCAAGTGCGAGAAAGTTATCTTCAATTTTAAAATTGCTACATACTTCCCAAATTTCAGCTTGGTGATTAATTGTTTGTTATTATATTGATACATACCAAGTTAAGAAAATTAGTTTCTACATTATTGTTGAAGAACAAGGGCGTTAATTCTGTACTTTCTTGTCACATAATTTAGAAAATCGCTCTAATTGCCATAAACACAATTTTTATAGAAATCGGTTAAAACGTCAGCAAGCTGGTGGAATAATAACTTTTCTCTGACATGGACAATAACTCTAATTTAAATCATCGGAAACCACTTAAATTCGATCTTTATTCTATTATTATAGATATACTTTCATTTATCAAAAACTGTTAAATTGAAATACGTTCGGACTGGTACACGCTAACCTTGACAAAGATAAAATAAATTTAATAACGAAAAAAAAACATCCACATAAAAGACTAAGTTAACATACCTTACATAATATCTTTTAAATATCTAATGTGTATCTCTGACTCTTTCTGTATGAATTCTCTCTGTATTCTGAACTAGATGTAGTCAAGGATGCTAAACATCGTATTCCATATCAGCCTGATATTCCGTTCTGCTCCATGATCTCTTTTAGAAGATTATCTTCAAGATTACGCTAATGAACCGAAGAAATAAACAACCGCAGCTGTGTCAATCTACCCTCGTCCTGGAGTAATATTCCTTAACACAATAAACTGGTTAAAAATAAAAACAACATGAATAAATCATCATCAATTTCTAAAGAAAGCTATTTTTTATATTCACAACTCTGGACAACGTTCAAGTCACTGTCATTTTCCTCTGTTTACATCAGAGAAAGTATATCTGATAATAAATACTTCATCAGTTCTACTACATAATTGATAAGTGACGTTTATGTCTTTTGTTTCCTCCTTCACTTGGTTCTGGTTCGCTTCGTACATTGGTAAGAAAAGAACTCTAATAATGTAATTCTTTTGTTCCTGTTGACATCAATCTATTCATTTACAACTTCGAAGCTCAGGCGATATTCTCTTTATATTTTAAAATATACTTAAATTGACATGTTGAACACCAATGAACTCTGGAGTGTTTTACATTGAAATTTGTTGAGTTTAAGGTATAAGCAGAGCAAGAAGTTATCCATCTCCTGATATTAAGGTTTTATACCCTTGTTTCTCTACTATAAAATATGATGCAAATTATTAATTATTGTTCTCACCGAGATTCTACGGTTACCTTTTTAGAAATTTAAAACAATTCAGATTGAATGTGTATTAAAGGCTTGTATTTAACAACAAGTGTTAGTTTAGTGTTCTAATTTTAGTATTTGGAATGTATTCAGCTTCAAGAATCTGTAGATGCTTTGAAATTATAAATGGTCTTCCTCGAGGCTTTATAGAAATTCAATGATTTTATTATAATTATCATACAACATGGTAATATGCCTTTGAGTTATTTAAAGAAACTTTGTGGTCTGCTGTAATCCAGTAAAACAATCTATCAAGAATCACACTTTCAACTAGTGGATTTGCGTGATATTGTAAAGTCAATAGAGTTATCTATTAATTGTACTTATTTCATCAATAACATTTATTTATAAAGGTTTTTCCTTATTTCATCATGATAAACTTTCTTTCCAACTTTTCACACTAATTACACTGTCATACACTGTATTATACAACATACACTGTCATACACTGTCATATACTGTATTATACAACATACACTGTCATATACTGTCATACACTGTATTATACAACATACACTGTCATATACTGTCATATACTGTATTATACAACATACACTGTCATACACTGTATTATACAACATACACTGTCATACACTGTATTATACAACATACACTGTCATACACTGTATTATACAACATAAACTGTCATACACTGTCATATACTGTATTATACAACATACACTGTCATATACTGTCATACACTGTATTATACAACATACACTGTCATACACTATATTATACAACATACACTGTCATACACTGTATTATACAACATACACTGTCATACACTGTATTATACAACATACACTGTCAAACACTGTATTATACAACATACACTGTCATACACTGTCATACACTGTATTATACAACATACACTGTCATACACTGGCATACACTGCATTATACAACATACACTGTCATACACTGTATCATATAACATACACTGTCATATACTGTCATACACTGTCATACACTGTCATACACTGTCATACACTGTATTATACAACATACACTGTCATACACTGTATTATACAACATACACTGTCAAACACTGTATTATACAACATATACTGTCATACACTGTATTATACAACATACACTGTCATACACTGTATTATACAACATACACTGTCAAACACTGTATTATACAACATATACTGTCATACACTGTATTATACAACATATACTGTCATACACTGTATTATACAACATACACTTTCATACACTGCATTATACAACATACAATATTGATACTAATGTATTTCTATTAAAACACAAGATTAGAGTTGCTATTCTATTTACAGTAATATTTTTATTTGTAATTTGTTTAATTTGACGGAGATTGAATCAAAATCTCTCCAGTCTTTGTTTATTTTGTTAATTACTTTTTACACCATACAAATTCCATCAGATTGTTAAATAGTTTAATTTACCTGAATGGTGTATAAATACTTAAAGTATATTGTGTGGAAAGGCTTTT